TCAGTGCAAAAGAGGAAGACCTTCAGAGAGATGCATTGACACAGTGGCTGCAACAATGGGCTCAAGTATAACAACGATCGTGAAGGTGGTGTAAGACAGAGCAGTGTTTCATTGTGTTGTACATAGGGTCGCTAGGAGTCAAAACTGACTCGATGACACCTAACAACAAGAGCACAGACTGATGTTTAAGACCTAGCTATTCACATTATTATTAACCCAAGCACAGAGCTCACATAAGCACTGACAAACCTAGGATTCATAATGTATGGTTATGGATTGAACTGTGTCCCCCAGAAATATGGGTTGTAAATCCTAACCTATATGCCGGTGGTTATAATCCCAACCGGGTTGTCTTTGTTATGGTAATGAGGCAGGATTAGGGTGTATCTTGAGTCAATCTCCTTTGATATACAAACGAGATTAAACAAGCCAGCAAAGCCGAGATGGGGGAAGGGAGATACTAAAACACATGAAGATTGCCCAGGAGCAGAAGCTCAAAAGAGACAAGGACCTTCCTCCAGGGCCAGCAGAGACAAAAAGCCTTCCCCTAGAGGTAGCACACCGAATTCAGCCTTCTAGTGTCCTGTGAGAAAATAAATTTCTGTTTGTTACTGCCAGCCACTTGTGGCCTTTCTGTCATAGCAGCACTAGATAACTAAGACGTGTATCATCTACTTTTCCAGTTTCTTTTTCAACAAGAAGATAGGTAAATTAATGTGAATTATGGATATTTATCTTACATTATTACCCTGATGATCTGAAACAGATTTGTTTTACACCCTTACTTCCTTGTAGAAATATTTACCTAGGCAATTCTTCTCATGTTTTCATCTTCAATGGCCAAGATAGTAAGAAACAAACAAACAAACTTCCCTTTTTGCTGTAACATAATTAAGTCCACAGAAAAACACAAAAATTGACAATGTTTCACAATCATTTTCTCCTCCTAATTTCCTTGATTTTGGACCTTAATCTAATTGCTATTATCTTTAATCAACAGGAAGCAATTTCATATAGTTTAGTCACAGTTTTATTTCTCAAATGTATTGGTTTCTATGCTGGGTGTATATTTGTTAACAATAATTGCAATGCGTTTGTACAAGACTTTTAGTCTCAAGCATTTGGATGTACCATCTCATTATAAACCAAAAACCAAACCTATTGCTGTTGAGTTGATTCTGACACATAGTGATCCTATAGGACAAAAAGTAGAACTGCCCCATGAGGTTTCCAAGGAACTGCTGGTGGATTCAAACTGCTGACCTTTTGTTTAGCAGCAGAACTCTTAACCACTGTGCCCACACTATCCTTTAAATACAGGGATTTACTTACGTTAATATCATTTATACAACATAATCAATATTAGACCTAACCTAGTAGGATGCATCTAAGTCAGTCTTACTGAAAAGACGTAGTGTTTAGATCAAGAACTATGCACACATTTCCAGAAATACTTTAATAGGGATTATACCCAGATGAAATCATTCTTATCCATTCCTTTGCAGGTATCAAATTCTATTCAAGAAAAGTTTTCCCTCCATGGTTACCACAAACACATCCACAGTAAAAACTTCCCTAGGCCTCTTCTGTGAAATCTCATTCTTAAGAATTACTTGTCCAAAAATGTAAAATCCAGAATCTTTAAAGATGAGCTCATTTATACATTTACTTTGTTTTACTTCAAAACTGTGACTTAGGTCTGAAGGATAAAAACTGAATATTCCTCAAAAATACATTTCAGTAGAGTGCAGAAAGGTGGGCTAATCTATAAAGCAGATGTTCTTATTTTAAAAGGATGTGGTTATTGGCAAGAAAGAACACAGAAATCCACTTTTCAGCCGTTTATGAGAGTATGACTCATGTTAACAACCAAACACAAGGTATTATGACATGAAAAATCCTCCTTTTACTCTAAAAAGATAAAGTTTCAAAATCATGGTTTGGAGAACATAATGATTTTTTCCCAGAGACTATTATGATTAATTAAGTGACCTCATTCTTGGGATATTGATTATTTTGAAAGGTATTTACAAGAAATTTCAATAATAGAAAACTTAACTTCTGTCCTGCTGGGATGAGCCAGAAAACCTTCTTGCCTCATATAAATGGAGTGGCAGCTAGGCACTTCTGAAAAAGGAAACAACATTGGTCAAAGAGGCATCTGGAGCTGAAAATGTGCTGTTATCACAAATAGGAACATAACAGAAACTGACACAAGTCCCCAAGAGGGGAACCTGTCAACACGTAGTTAACGTTTCAGGCATGGCCCACACAAGAAATGGAAGAATGAGAAGCATATCATGCTGAGTGCCGAATCTCTTGAGCAGGTACCTGAATTCAAAGCTTTATCCAAGTCAACCTGGTTAAAAAGTTTAGCTCGAATAGCAACCCCACATGACTGTGATTGCATCCTGGCAACAAACAGTATCATGATTTGTAATTATGCTTCATGACAATTACAGAATAAATTTATATATCTTTTGACATTCTATTTAAAAAGAAAAATCAACTAAAGGTTCATTCATAGTTTATTTCATGAA